TCAGATGAACACATCACTGTTAAAAAGCTCTTTAAAAAGAAGGAAATACCCATGGCCGATGTGACTCATTTGACTGGAGCATTGTCCCACAACTGAAAGGCTTCAGGCCTGATTCCCGGTCAGGGCGTGTGCCTGGGGTGCGGGTTTGATCCCCGGTCTGGGTGTGTCCAGGAGGCAACCGATCCAAGTTTCTCTCTCACATAGATGTTTTTCTGTTTCCCTTCCTCTCTCTAAAAGCAACAACAAAAAAAAAAATGTCCTCCCACGAAGGTAAAAAATAAATAAAATAAAAAAGAAGGAAACAACGTTGCCTTTCTGTGCAGCAAATGAAACATTTCACATCACCCCACTGATCTTACAGTTTTAAACACAATAAGGGTAGTCATTAAAAAAATCACGATTTTCATATATATTTAATCACATGGAAAGCTGCTTACAGTGTGTTACAGGATGAAAAATAAAGTTAAAAACTCCTACTTAACATGCTCACATCTGTCTGTGCAGGATACACATATATGTTGTGGATATAGCATACATATACACATACAGTTTTTGCCAACCTGTCTAAGACATCAGAACTACACACACAGAAAAATACCCCAAAATAATATATATAAAATCCTAACATAACTACTACCCCTAGGTGGCAGGATGACGGATTTTTAAAAAATATTTTGCTTATCTTTACTTTTACATATTCTTACAACACTCGAGCACTTCCATGTACAACATGGATGAAAGAGACGAATGGGACAAGCAGTCCTATCTTTAAGGAGTCCGGACTGAGTGGCATCTGCAACCAAATTGTGTGGATGAGAGTCTGGGGGCTTCATTTCCTCCAACCTCAGCCCCACCTCTTCCTTTCATGTGGCCTCCCGAGGTTCTGATGGGAACTGTCGCGTGAACAGGTAAAAAGTGGTGCAAAGAGGACCACAGGTGACACTTAGGAATCATCAGCTTCAGGCCACAGAGCATTGGCTCAGCCACAGAGCAGGGTTATCGCTTGTTACAAGCAGCCGTCTTCAAGGGAGAAACATGTAAATGAGTATTTTACAACTACGGATATTCTCTCATTAAGTAAATACCTGCTTGCAGAATTACATTTAATACAGCTCATTGCACCCAGCATTTATATCTTAGTTTTAAACACCATTTGTCTCTACATAGAACCAGGGACGGGGTGGAGAAAGTGCAGAATGGCTCTGAAACATAACGTTTTGCCAAAAAGTAGCAAAGTGTTAAAGATATATTGTGATACATTAAAAGGAGGTGGGAACAAGTGTGAAGAGGCTCCCGGTAGACAAATCAGGGACAAATTGAGCATCAGAGTAAATAATGACAGTAATGAGTCATAGCCCATTAGATAAAATTAGAATGCAGAGTTCACAGTGATTTAAATAAATAAGTAAATAAATAAATAAATGCAGAAGGAGAGAAGGTTCTTCCTGACAGAATGCCAAGTAACAAATGACAAAGGATCAGTGGAATTACAAAACCTCCATTTTTCAACCTTCAAAGTACTAACTGATTCAGGCAAGAATCATCGATGGATGCTAAAACTAGAGTGTGAAAGATTGAAAAGGGACAAGACGTTTCATAGTCTCAAAATATCTCCTCATGATTTACTTTTAATTATAAAGAACAAAACTAATCTTCCCCAATAAATCACTAAGCAACTTTGCAAAGTCCCAAAAAATGTCCTCAAAGTTCTCAAATGTCCTCAGAAGCAATTCTGAGAGGATAGAGAATATATCCACTTGTCAGAATAAAGAAAAAGAAAGATTTGCTCTGAGAAAAACAAAGGTTTACTGTCCTGCACCCTGAAAAATCAGCAAAGAAGAAGCAGACGATGGTCCCGGTGACTTTTTTCTACGCGTATCTACCTTCTGAGCACAATCAGGCCGACCCACAGCCTCTGGTGCTCTGGGGAAAATGGGATCGTCATACATGAATGATTCATTTCTTCTTTTACACATTTTTGTTCAGTGTGTTTTCACTAGAATATTAGGTAAAATAGGGAGTACAAAGTAAGTGCTCAAAATTTTATAAACTTCCTTCAAAGCCCTGTGTTCGGTTGGATAGCAACTTGGAGCTTGCTTAGGTTAACCATTTTCTAGAGCACTATATACATTTTACCTTATGAAGGAGTGGAAAGTTGGGGCTTACACATCTAAGATAGGATCTGCTTCCTGCTACAGCCACCGGGTGCCATGTGCCTAAAATTGGGAATCACAAATAAAATATAGGAAGACTGTAATCAAGGCATCAGGGTGACGGAAGAATAGGGACCAAGCACGTGTCTATCCACGTGCTGGAAAAAAGAAAAGAATATGTTGCCAGAAGAATAAGAACAGGAAAATCCCTTGCGTAAGTCTGCTCTTCAACTACCAGGCGCTTTATTCCTGTGTCCTATGCCTATTTGTTCCCACCCACGCACTTGACACGTGTCAGGGACTGTGCTAGGTGTGGGGAGTCTACCAGGATGGACTCTGCTTGCAGAAAACTTAGAGCCTGATTTACGGAGTGGGTGGACGCAGAACAGTAAGTCCGTACTGGCCCTCCGTGGTGCCCAGCACTTAGCAGGCTCCGTGTGCTGTGTGCCGCCAGGGCCCTGAAACCACCTGGGGCCGAAGAAAGGTATTCCGGAAGGCCATCTCAAAGTGGGGTGTCACTGAGCTAAGGGCTGCTGAGTATCCTCCTTTCCCAGGATGAGAAAAGGTTACCAGAAATAGGATCGAGCCAAGAAAAGCCATTTAAGAAGTAAGGGCAGTACATAAGGAAGGAAAAGGAGGAAGCAAATGTTGTCAATTTTGCTGCCACTTTTCTCTTTTTTACTCATTTAGATTTCACAAGTAATTTATAAAGTAGAGGAAAAAAAGATACAAAAGGAGGAGACAACACGGCCACCAAAAGTAAAAGCAGTGCGTTTTCCCGAGTGCTGGCCAAGAACAGAGAGCCCGGGGAGGTTTGCGCTGCTAGCGCGAGCACAAATGCACCTACAGGAAGGGTCGGCCATAGAATTCAAGAATCTTGTGGAATTCAGTAATTCTCCGTCTAAGGAGATACCCTAATGAGGGGAAAAAATGGAATGATTCATTGAATAAATGTGTTAATCAAGTATTATTTATAATTTGGAAAAATTAAAACAATATACGATAATGAAAAATGTGAATTCGATATGATACATCTAGATGGCGACTTTTACGCAGTCATAAAAATCAAGTTGGAGGCAGGAGAGCAGAGAAACCAGATCTTGCTGGGAGCCGCCTCTCCGCCGCACAGCACGGGCTCGGAACCGGAGCTGGCGCTCCCTCGGTTTCCCAGAATTCCTTTCTCTCTCCATCTCTTGGCCTACCCATGACCCTTCACATACACCTTTCTTGCTTTTTTTATTCATTTCTTTATCACAGTAACCTTCTTTATTCCCTCCTTGTCTAATTAATTTTCAATAACAGATATATTTTAAAGCAGCTTTTCTAAGACTTTGGAAACAAGGACAAGGTCACATGTCTGTATGCGCAGGCACCGTACATGCAAAGACGGTCTAAAAACATGTGACTCACAAGCAACTGTGATGGACCCTGTGGAAGGTACAGGTGGACCAGAACACTGGAGTGAAGGGAGATTTTTCTTTCACTGATTATTCTTTGGTAATAATTTTTTTTAAACCCTCACCTAAGGACATTTATTCACTGCTTTTAGAGAGACGAGGAGAAGAGAGACAAAGAGAGAGAGAGAAACATCAGTTGGTTGCCTCCTGTATGTGCCCGGATCGAAGATCAAACCTACAACCTAGGTATGTGCCCTGATCAGGAATCAAACTGCTGATCTTTCCGTGATGGGACAATGCGCCAACCAACTGAGCCACACTGGCCAGGGCTCTTTGGTAATGATTCCTAATGAATATGTACTACTCTGTCAATATACAAAGATAGATAGATAGATAGATAGATAATGGAATGCAGAAATAACCTGATTGAGCATGATCATTTTTCATAGAAGCAGACATAGAAAAATGAAACGATTGTCCCAAGTTCGTATAAGGCAGAGGATCCGGCAGGGATAAAAAGAAAATTTACTGAGCACTTAGCATTTAATTGTCTTAATAATACTTCAGCAAAGCTTTTAAAGATAAAGGCATCAATGCTTAGAGACATCAGGTAGCTTGGTTAAGGGCACATAGCTGCAGAGTGAAAGCTAAGAGTTCAAATTTGATTCTACCCTCCAGTTCCCTAGTCTCAGCTCTTTCTGGGTCTTCCTGCCGCTCTTTTCCTTCTGCTGCCTCAGTCCCGTGACTTCAATGCTGTCCACAGCACAGTTCCCTCATTTCATTTTTGTCTTTTGAATTCACTTTTACTGATCTTTACCATCCCAAAGGCAAAACTATGTATTGACCCAAACTTCATTTTTCCAAATAGAAGAGAATTTTCTAAAGAGAATCTCGTTAAGTCAAAAGTTTTTCCACAGCAATTCACATATTGTTGCTTCACAAAAATATTCACACTTAACAATTTTCTTTTAAACCAAAAGACAACTCTACCTGTCTTTACACAGTACCTCAAGTCTGCGGATTCACACACCTGAACTGTAGAAGTCTGCCACCCTCTACTGGGAAATGTATCAGTCAGGGCTCCGGCAGAAAACAGGTGATTATTGAAACAAAGTAATTGGAAAATACAGCCCTGACTAATGGGACCCAGTGGGTTGGCTGTTGTCCACCAAACCAAAAGGTCGCTGGTTCGATTCCCGATCAGGGCACGTGCCTGGGTTGCAGGTTCGGTCCCTGCTCAGGGTGCATTTGAGAGGCAATTGATTGATGTTTCTCTCCCTCTTCTTTCTTCCTCCCTCCTCCTCTCTCTAAAAATACATAAAATCTTTAAAAAATAAAAATTAGAAGATGCTTAAAATGGGAAGGATAAACTTGTTTGAGAGAGAGTTAACATTTCCTCCATGTAACCCACAGAATCCGAATCATCTATGGAAGGAAGAATGTCACTTCCCTAAGTATTCTCCCTTTCTCGGGAGAATGACGTTCTGCCCAAGGTTTTCTTCAGAGCAGCTTTGACATCCTTGTTCCTCAGGCTGTAGATGAACGGGTTCAGCATGGGCACCACAATGGTATAGAACAAGGAAGACACTTTCCCCTGGCTCATCGGTGAAACAGAAGATGGCTTGAAGTACATGAATATCCCTGACCCAAAGAAAAGGGAAACCGCAATTATGTGGGAGCTACAGGTGCTGAAGGCTTTGAACCGGCCCTCAGCGGACCGAATGTGGAGGACGCTGGAGAGGATGAGGGCGTACGAAGTGGAGATGGTCACTGCGGGCACACCAATATTGATGCCTACAACCACGAACACTACCAGCACATTCACGTGGGTGCTGGTGCAAGAGAGCTCAAGAAGGGGCAGGATGTCACACATGTAGTGGTCAACCAGGCGGTTGGCACAGAAGGTCAGTCTGACCATGCACATTGTGTGGGCCATGGCCCCAGTGAACCCCATCCCATAGACACCCAACAGAAGAAGTAAGCAGACCGGCGGAGACATGGTGGTTGTGTACACCAGTGGGTGACAGATGGCGACATAGCGGTCATATGCCATCGCTGACAGGATAAAGCACTCAGAGACAACAAAAAAAACGAAGAAGAAGAGCTGAGTCATACACCCTGCGTAGGAGATGATGTTTTTCTTTGAGACAAAACCCATCAGCATTTTCGGAGTGATAACAGTGGAATAGCAGAAATCTATGAAGGACAAGTTATAGAGGAAAAAATACATTGGGGTGTGCAGGTGAGAGTTCAGCCCAATCAGGGTGATCAAGCCCAGGTTCCCCGCCACGGTGACCACGTAGAAACCTAGAAACAGGAAGAAGAGCGGGGTCTGGAGCCCCGGGTGGCCGGTTAGGCCCGCGAGGATGAACTCCGCCACAGAGGAGTTCTCAGCTACCATTCTCACTTCGGGTGTTCTGTGGGAACAAACGAAAAGGGCCACTTAGAAAGAGAGAGAGAGACACCACTGCCCTCTGTCACCGTCCCGTTCTTGAGAATTAGACCCACACTGACAGGTACTGGATGCTGGCAGAAAGGCTTTCTGGATGTCGTGGGCCCGTCCTCGCCACACCCTGGAGCGGCCTCTGAGGCTGCGCAGTGAGCGCAGGTGCTGCCCAAGGAGGAGCTGAGTCTCCCAGATCTTTACTCTGGTCCATTTATTGTGTCCTTCCCACTCTGGTTTCTGCTAAAGGTCACCCAAACTGGGGCCAGTCTCTGGAGAAAGCCCCCTCAGAGGTTGGAGGCAGCCCAGCTGTGCCTGGGGTGTCACTTCACAGTCAAGCGAGACAGAGTGAAAAGGTGAGGTGACTTTCTTAAAGCCTTTCCTACCCGAAGTTGATGACAGAGAAAGTTCCTTCCAGATCCAGTCACTCGCCCTCCCTCAGCCTGACGTTCTTTGGTCCAACTCTTCTCAGTTGTTCAGACAGAGAACTAACTGGTTGTAGTGCTGACACAGAGGAAGAAACTCGTAACAGACCCGTTTGGTCTCCGTCCTGTTTGGAGGGCCAGAGCTCGGGCGGCCTTAGAACCCCTCCTGAGCTGAAGAACTGAGAGCTGTTGGAGGCTCTGCCCTGCGGCTTTGTCCCCAGCTCGCAGGAGGGAGCCGGTGTTCTGGCCTGCGAGCAGTGCCCGCTGAGGAGAGGAGACCGAGCAGTTTTATTCAGGGTTCAGAGACCTGGGGACCTGATTAGAGGTAGAAAGCCAGAGGTTCCCCTGGGATCACAGCCCTAGAAATTAACTTTAAAAAGGAGGAATTTTTGCTTATACACTTGATAATACCTGAATGGGATTTAAAAACCATTATGTATTCAGTTAACATCTGCTCAGTAAAACGCAAAACACTGTGTAAAAACAATAATTTACCATTTATTGCGCACCGGCGACGTGTGCCCAGCACACGTCCCGTCCTCCCGCTTCTGCCCTGGCCCCGGCGTGCCGGGGTCAACACCATTTTACGTACAACGCTCCATTTTAATTCTCCCCCAAATCCTGCGAGCTGGGTTTTATTGCTCCCATTTTATGTTATTTTTAAATAGATATTTAAAACATTTTTTTAGAGAGGGGGAAAGAAGGGAGAGAGGGAGAGAAACGACGTGTGAGAGAAACATCGATTGGAATCAAGCTGGCAACCCTTCACATTGTGGAAAGAAGTCCAACCAACTGAGCCACGCCAGTCAGGGCTAGCCCTCCCATTCCAGAGATGTAATGTAACACATGTTAAAATTACAAAGGACAGTTCTGGCTGCTGTGGCTCAGTGGATTGATCACCGGCCTACAAACCAAAGGGTCGCAGGTTTGATTCCCAGTCAGGGCTCATACCTGGGTGGTGGGTCAGGTCCCCAGCAGGGGGCACTAGAGGGACAACCACACATGGATGTTTCTCTCCCTCTCTTTCTCCCTCACTTCCCTTCTCTAAAATTAAATAAATAAAATCTTAAAAAAAACCCCTGCAACTATTAAAAAAAATTACAAAAGACATGAAATCTAAGTGACTTTAACTGCAAATCTGGTGTTCTTAACAATTGCATTTAATATCTCTCTGTGAGAAATAATCAAAGGTATAAAGCTTTGTTTTCAAGGCTGACATTCTCTTGTAAAAGTTGATAGAACACTTATACCTAAATATGCAAAAAAAACGAAAAAGGGGGTAAAATCTAGAAAAGGTAAAAATAAAATGCTATGTAAGTTCAGAGGAGGGCATGCTACACGCCACTTATACTTTCGTCTATCACAGGAGTAGCACAATGTCTAGTCCAGGGAGAACCAAATCTTTTTCGTCTATTGGAATTTGAGCTTGACAGCAAAGACAAGCCCTTTTAATTAAGAACATTTTCTTCCAAAGCTGCTAAATTGTTGGGCTTCTCCTTGATGGCCCTGACCTCTGTGCTCCCAGCTCTCTTTTTGGGCTCCAGTGCCCTCAGAATGACCCCGATGACTTTGTAGCTTGAGGCCCTTCAACCCACTGGACCCACGAACCTTTGTTTCCTTATTTTGCTTGTTTTGATCTTTTTCTAACTCCCCGCATCTCATGACAAAACTTACCCTCTGTGTCCCCGTCTTTCAGAGTCCTGCTTGAATTCAGGGACAGCCAGTTCACACTTTGGGGGCCTAGATTTGAGGTCATATTTAAAAATCATCTAATCCTGTGGTTTATAAATCTGACTGTACAATGGAATCTGGAAAGTATGTATGTGTTTATTAAAAGTACATATTCTCCATACTTACCTGGCAGGGGAGACACCATGATCAAGAAGGTGGTTTTCCCAGGGCGAGGCTCACCCATTGCGCTCTGGTTGTGCTGACCCCTGCGATTTCCCCAAATGTGGGAAACTCGACTGCAGAATTGTGGTAGTGGGCGACTGCGTTCTCACTCTCCCCTGGTTTAAAAAAAAAAAAAGAGTACATATTCTTATTGCTCTTATTCACACATAATTAGTCAGAATCGCCAGGGGTGAGACTTTATAATCTGCTTCCTCTTCTAAATCTTCCCTGGTGATCTGGATATTTAGCGAAGTGTGGATTCCACTCATCTAACCCTGGTACCTTGATCTTCCAGACAGGAAAACCGAGACCTGATCACAGAGCTGGCTGGTGGCAGAGGACAGACTAACACATGGGCTAACCTCTCTAACTGAAGACGTTTTCCAAATGAGCCAGTGGAAGCCCACCTAGCTTTTAGTTTGGCTGAAGTGGGGGTAAAGTAAAAGCCATCACTGGACAGCAGGGCTAGAACAGCACCCCAGGGTCATACTGGGGAGCGACTTGAATGTCATGATGCGAAAAGTGTACACAGTGTGAATCCATGGAGCATTTTCAACAGGGGGATGACAGGACCAGATGTGATAAGGGAGACCAGTTAGTCTAACGGGTGACTGAGTGTCGATGACTTGAAGGAATAGTCCCTCTAGGTACTATGTTTTATCTTGCAATTCAGAAAAATTAACTCAAAGCACAACAATAAGATAAGGGACAAGGGATGCACTTTCGGAAGAAGTAACAGCTAAACGGAGCAAAAGGCCTGTCTAAGTTTTAGAGCCCATTGCAAATCACAAGATGTGGGCCTTGCCTCAGAGCTGCGGTGTCTCCTCTCCTCCACTCTGAACATTTTCATGAGGCCCCGAGTTCTCTGTGCAGGACCTCTTTTCTGCTTCATTTTATGTTATTCAGTCCAAACAGCAGCTGGCAGCAGGCAGTTAGTGCCAACAACACAGTTTCTCAGCTGTGCCACGTGCACCCTGCTTTCTGCCATAGGATGACATCTCTGTCACCACATGTAGAATGTCAGTGGGAATCCACTCAGACATTCTTGTAACGGTGGGAAATTGTAACCCACCCCACCAATCGTTTGGCATTGTTCCTATAAGCGCTGACTCCGACGGATACGCAGCTTGTAGATGAACAGCATGCTAGGAACTAACTTCAAAAGATACAGAATCTGACCTTCAGCACCCCAGCTCCTGGAGATTTGCTGACCTCCAAACGTGAAGCCAGGATGATGCACAGTGGACTGTCATGCTCATCGGCACATGGAGAACTTTTCAACTCCCTCCCTCGATCTCTTTGTTCCGTTCCTCTCTGCCTCCTTATAAAAACCTCTGCCTCCATCGAGATGCTGAGATGGGCTTTGAGACGAGTCCCCCATCTTCCCAGGAGATGGGCTTTGAGACGTGAGCTCCCCATCTTCCGGGTGGCCGGCATCTGAATAAACCACTTCCCTTTACCCCAGCATCTGCCTCTCGAGTACTGGCTTTCAGAGCGGCCGGCAGCCAGGCCTGCATTGTTACATTCCGGTGCATGTGCGGACTTAGCAGTGTGAAGGCGTTAACGCCCCTGGGAACCCGTGGGTAAGTGCTCCCCTCTTCTGTATCTTTCATGATTCATTCTTTATAACATGCCAAAGGGCCTCAGAGTGATCGATCCTAAATTTCCCAGTAAAGTAACCAGCTCATGAGCCCACTCACCCTGGGGTTGACTTTCTATCCTTCCCTGTTTACTCTTCCTCTTCCCTGAGATCCCTTCCAAAAACAAGCTACCTGCACACAAGTCCTCATTTCCAGCTCGACTTGTTGTGGGACCCCCCACTAGGGCCCTCTTAAAACTGTGTTTGAAGCAGCTCTGAACAAAACGTGCCTTACTCCACTGGAAGGAAGCAGCCTCCCTATTTGACTCCAGGTTAGAAAATCAAATATGTATCATTAAATTTATCAAGTGCCTGAAATTCTATGTTACAGAGAATATTTGCATCTTAAATATGCCCTATCAAAATTTCCAAATGCCAGAAGGGGTAGGATCTCAAATCATTATCAGCTCACACCCTCAAGGGGATCAGCCAAAAAAAGTCTGCAGTACCTTGTCCTTAGATCCACGGAAGCTCCCCTTGGACTGTGAAATTGTCTTCGTTACTGTCTATGTGGCTCCACAGACTGTGACAGTGGGAACTAGGGTTAGTCACTTTGATACCCTTGGAACCCAGGACAGAACTTGGTTTGCAGCTCTCAGAATGTTTATTGATCTCAGGTTCTCAGTCTCATCATCTGCAAAATGGAGCTACTAATAACAGGGTCGTTGTGAGGGTTAAATTAAATAATAAAATGGAAGAGCCTAGTAAAGAGGCTGACACATGGAAGAGTCTTATGTTATGGGAAATACACATAAAACATACATAAAATAGATATAATTTAGGGAGGGAATGAGGGAGAGAAAACGGTTGCTGAGAGGCAAGGTCATCCTGAAGGGGGCGAGTGAGGCTCCCGCAAGGCGGGAGAGGGGGGCTGATAGAAGTCAGGGGGGCTCTGAAGCAACACTTATTCTTCAGAACCTTAACTAAGGTCCCTCTCTCCGACATAACTTAATCGGCAGACGGACTCGAGGCCCTTGATTGTTTACCTTGTCCCTATTCCC